CATTTTCACTTTTATTATGTGTATAGATTTTACTTATTATTATATTTGTATAATATTATTATACCATATTAGATTATTAATATTACAGTATATTATATTGCTAATACTATATTACACACATTATAAATATATTTCTATTTTATGATGTTATTATTACATTATATGATTTATATTATTACACCATATATTATATTTTATATTATTATATTATATAATTTATTCTTATTGCTATATGATGTTATTTTATCATATCATATTATACCATATTATAGTATTATTATAATTACTATATTATAATATTTAAATGTTTGTGGTATACTATTATTTTTTTATTATATCCCTAGCTGTGGCTCAGTCTGATGAGGGATGAATGTGTTTTTTTGCCACAACTTAGCAGCATGCTTTCTGACTCCAGTAGTGATTTGGCAGTGTGCATTCAATTATTCATTTTTATCTTCTATGAAATAGTTTGGGAGGAAGTTATGGTTACTGCTGAGCAAAGGAATCAAAGAGCCAGCTCTGTGGTAAATATGTTCCTGATTTTTAAGTGCTGGCATAAAATGCTCCGCTGTAATGTCTTCACCAAATGAAGTCTTTTGTTAACAAGAATTGTAATTTCTGTTGTTTTTGAGGAATTGTTCTGAATCATCAATAATTCCATTTAACCAACTTTTCAGTCACTCTTTTGGCTGCCCAGGTTCAAGAAGCTTCACTCTTCCACTTGCGCAGCAGATTTCCGAGGTTTTTCCTTTAAATTTCCCCGCTTTGCCGTGTGGACAAACTGTGTCCATTTTCCTGATTGAAACGTATTTACATGAGGTATTTAACTGAATATCCAGTTCGTATGAAAATGGATTTCGGTGACATGAAGCTCAAGCATTCAGATATTGCAACAGCATATGTCTTCGCTGTTGATCTAATTGTTCTTGGCGTTGTTGAGACGACTGCGCTGGTCTTCTTGATTCAACTCGTAAGGCTTCAAGTCTTTCTTCCTGCTGTGCTGCTGACTCTGCAGTTTGCCCTTGAGAAGTTCTGGCTCTAACACATTCGTTTTTGTCTTAACAGTACTGATCAGTGCGGTTTGGTCTCCTTTGACGTTCTGTGCTTGTGTGTCAAGAACTGCGGCCTATGTTCAAATGTGGGTGTGAGGTTTCTGATGATTAATGAATGTGATACTATGACTTATGAGAATAGTCTGCCTGAGCGTTCTTCAGTATGTGAAGATTACTGCTGGTGTAAATAAAATACCCGATCACATTGATTTTCCCGTTGCCAATAGTAACCAATCAGAACTCTGCTTCCATTTCTTTGAATACTGAGGTGAAATAATAGCAGCATTGTGATTGGTTGGTTTTTCTTATGCTGCTGTGGTATATGGAAAGCTGTGCTATGTTTGGTGGTTATTTCTTCTACTGCTGTGGTTTTATGATAGCTGCTCTGTGCTTTGTTGTTTTTTCTTAAACTGCTGCGGTGAAAGTACAGCTGCGCTGCAATTGGTTGCTAGAGCTCTGTTTTCCTTTTTTCTGTTTAGGTAAACTGAATGCTAGGCTGAGTTTGGTAACGATGGGCTACACAGATTTTGTTTTGGACAGGTTTCATAAGAGTGGGTGCTGGGATCTTTCTTGTCTTTGTCTATTCCAGAATGGCTAATTTTATTGCTATAACACACGCATATTAGAATGCAACGTTGAGTTAAAATTTCAAGTCATTCGACTGTCTATTTTTCAAGTTTTGTGAGCACAAACATGCAGACTGATATTTTATACATATTATTACATCATACTCTATTTCTAATGCTATTATTACATGATAATACAGTAATAATAATTATAATAAAATATGGTATAGTAATAATAGTAATAAGCCACCTGGCCATGACTGACCAAATGGGTCCTATCAAGTCATTCTCTGTGTCCTCCAGTGCCACTCAATTCCTTACCTTGGGCTCGTTCTCGGCCTCCATACTGTTCAAAATGCAGCGGCATAGTTTTTCGAATCTCTGCATAAATATAAGAAAATATTTTAATTCTTAAAAAATTATATATATATATATATATATACACACACACACACACATAATAAAAGTAAAAATATGTATGTATGTATGTGGCTGGGATGTCCAGTGACATTGAGGTTATAGTGAATGCCATGAATGTGTTCAAGAGCCCTGCCAATGTCTTCCACAAACACCACACTGCCCACCACCCAAGTGAAGGCTTTCATATGGCGACAATTTCATCATAGTTTTTATGTGTTTCCTCTACCAAAGACATCCCAGTGTTTCTGACTCTCTCCATCGGTGTGGAAGTTGCATGGCCCTACCCACTGCGTCTCCCTTAACCCATTCCTATTCTTTTCTATGGCATACAGCAAATAGAGGAATTGATCAGCAACTGAACATACTAGAGAGGTTTGGGGAGAATTCAGCATGATTTATAGGAGTTGTAGGTACTGAGATGAATAGTTCACCTGCAACCTAAGAGCACTCCGGACCCCATCAATGATGGACCTGGAACTAACTTGGCACACAGAACCCCCATGAGCAACAAAACATACTGGAGGTCTTTTCTAGTTCCAGGTTCATTGTTGGTGGAGTTCAGAGTGCTCTTGGATTGCAGGTGAGCTATACATCCAAGTACTTATTACTCCTATAAATCATGTTGTTTTTTTCATGTCAGGAGTGACTTGAGAAACTGCAAGTCATTTCTGGTGTGAGAGAATTGGCCATCTGCAGGAACATTGCCCACGGGACGCCCGAATGTTTTACCATCCTGTTTGAGGCTTCTCTCATGTATGAGCATGGGAAGCTGGAGCTGACAGACGGGAGCTCACCCTGCTCTCGGGATTCAAATTCCCGACCTCTCGGCAGATCAAATCCTGCTGGCACAAGGGTTTAACCCATGGTGAATTCTCCCCAAACCCTTCCAGAATGTTCAGTTGCCGATCAATTCCTCTGTCTTCTGTGTGCCATAGAAAAAAATAGGAAAGGAGTAAGGGAGAGGCAGTGGGCAGGGTCATGCAAATTCCACACCAATAGAGAGAGTCAGAAACACTGAGATGCGTGTTGTGGAGGAAAAACAGAAAATCTAGGGTGAAATGGTTCCTCCACTTGGGTGGTGCGCAATATAGTGTTTGGGGAGGCTAATTGGGCTATATGTTTACGGCACTCACTATAACCTACAATTTCATTGGAGGGAGGGCCATTGATGTCTCCTGCATAATGGCAGCTACGGCTATCTGTGGAAGTGGGAGTCTGTCTGTGAAAGTGGACGCCACATAAACACTTACACATTTTCACTTTTATTATATGTACAGATATATACCTACCTCTTTGTCGTGTTGCAGGTGAAAGATGAAGAGGAGCTTCCTGGCAATCCTGAAGATCGAAAGCGCTGTCTTCTTATTCGGATTCACAGATTCCTCCGGGAGGAAGAATTCATCCACTTCTTTCCTGCAAGAAGAACAATACTACATATATTTATTTCTATTATTATTATTATTGGCTATTATTATTCCTACTATTACTATTACTTATATTATTATTATTCCTATTGCATTTTTGAAGGCTTTCATGGATGGAATCACTAGGTTGCTGTGAGTTTTCCATACAGCCTGGAAACTTCACAGCATCCCTATTATTATTCTTCCTTTTATTATTCTATTATTATTTTTCTTATTATTTCTCTGATGATTATTCCAATTATTATTATTCCTATATTGATATTATTTATATTATTATTAATAATTGTAATATATAATATTATATAAATAATAGAAATATATTATCATTTTTATTCAATTTAATATTTCTATTATCACTATTCCTATTATTATTAATAGAAGTAATAATAATAGGAATAATTATAACAATAAAATTAATAGGAATCATAATAGAAATATTGACTACTATTATTCCTATTATTATTATTATCATCGTTATTCCAGTTGTTCCCATGATGATGATGATGATGATGATTCCTCCCTACCTACCGGAGGTGTGTACGGAGGTGCTGTCGAGCGGCGTGCCCCCGGAGGAGGGCCTGTATGCGGAGGGCAGCCTTCTCCCGCTCCTTCTGCCCGCGACGCTCCTCCCGCGCCTGCCGGGCCTTGTCCAAAAACTCCGCCTTCTTCGAAGTACAGGAAGAGGAAGTGGAGGAGGAAGGACAGGAAGAAGACGATGCAGGCCCACCAAACATCCTGGGAACTCACTACAGCAGGAGGAAGAGGAGGAAGAAGACATCATCATCATACATTCATTATGTTATTATATCTTTATATTAATACTATTTTATTATTATATATTATCATACAGTTTATATAATTATTATATCATTATGTTTTATACTATTTTTATTATATAACTAGCTTGGGTGCCCGGTGTTGCCCGGGTTATTTGAAAAAGTCATTTTTCAAATTGTACAAAATACATAAGGCTGTGAGTGAACTACAACTCACATCATGCCAGGTTAACCCCGAGAAACTCCATCAGACCTTAAAGTTTGTTATGTTGGGCAAGTTTGCTGTAGATGCATCGGTGGAGCTCAGTGTGCCCTCTGGCTGCAGGGTAAACTACAACTCCCACTATGTCAGTCCCCTCAAACCCCTCCAGTAGGTTGAGTTAGTCATGGGAGTTGTAGTTCAACTACACCCAGACAGCACTGTGAACACACACACTGATGGATCTGGACCAAACTTGGCACACATAGAAGATATGCCTAAATTTGATTACTGGAGGGGTTTGGGGGAGGGGGGGGGACTGACCTTCCTTTCTGGGAGTTGTACTTTACCCACAACCACAGAAATTGTGACCTCTACTGATGCTGAACCTGGACCTGACTTGGAACACAGAACCCCCAAAACTAACTCAACATATTTAACAACAAACCAGGGATGAGCTTGCAGCACTGCCTAATTTGGAAGAAGTCAGCAATGCCATCAGCTAACATAAAAAAAACCAAGCGGACCTGATGGGATCCCTGCTGAAATCTTTAAAGAGGGAGGACATGAGCTGACACAACAACTCCACCAGCTCATAGAAAAAGTGTGGGTGACTGAGAAAATCCCAGCAGATTTCAAGGTTGCCATCATCATCACCCTCTTCAAAAAAGGGGAAAGAACAGACTGCGGAAACTATCGAGGTATCTCCCTTCTAACCTCCGCTGGGAAAATCCTCGCAAGAATCCTTGCAAACTGCCTTCTGCCCCTCTCAGAAGACACCCTCCCAGAATCCCAGAACGGCTTCCGCCCCTCCAGAGGAACCGTGGACATGATCTTCACTGCACGACAGCTCCAAGAAAAATGCAAGGAACAACGCCAACCTCTGTACATGGCATTCATTGACCTTGCAAAGGCATTTGATACAGTGAATCGCAGCGCCCTCGGGACCATCCTCTAAAAAATCGGGTGCCCTAACAAATTTGTGAACATCCTGCTGCTCCTCCATGATGACACCAGTCTTGGACACCAATGGCTCGCAAAGTGACCCATTTAAGGTGGAATCAGGTGTCAAACAGGGATGTGTTATTACCCCAACTTTATTCTCCATCTTCATCACTATGATGGAGCCCCCGGTGGTACAGTGGGTTAAACCCCTGTGCCGGCAGGACTGAAGACCGACAGGTCACAGGTTCGAATGCGGGGAGAGGCGGATGAGCTCCCTCTATCAGCTCCACATACGGGGACATGAGAGAAGCCTCCCACAAGGATGATAAAAATATCAAATCATCCAGGCGTCCCCTGGGCAACGTCCTTGCAGACGGCCAATTCTCTCACACCAGAAGCGACTTGCTCCTGACACAGCAAAAAAATCACTATGATTTTGCACCTTGTTGATGGGAAGCTTCCCCCCGGAATGGAAATCATCTATCGGACAGATGGCAAGCTATTTAACCTCAGCAGACTGAAAGCCAAAACCAAGGTTACAACAACATCTATTATAGAACTCCAGTATGCTGATGACAACGTCGTCTGTGCACATTCAGAAGAAGACCTGCAAGCCACTCTAAACACCTTCGCAGAAGCATACAAGAACCTCGGCCTGTCATTAAACATCGAGAAAACCAAAGTGCTCTTCCAGCAGTCACCAGCCAATCCCTCTCCAATGCCAGAGATACAGCTTAATGGTGTTACGTTAGAAAATGTTAACCATTTCCGCTACCTTGGCAGCCACCTCTCCACAAAAGTCAACATTGACACTGAAATTCAACACCGCCTGAGCTCTGCGAGTGCAGAATTTTTCCGAATGAAGCAGAGAGTGTTTGAGGACTGGGACATCCGTAGGGATACCAAGGTGATTGTCTATAAAGCTATTGTCCTCCCAACCCTGCTATATGCCTGTGAGACATGGACTGTCTACATATGTCACATGCAACACCTGGAACGATTCCATCAGTGCTGCCTCCAAGAAATCCTGCAAATCTCTTGGGAAGACAAGCGGACAAATGTCAGTGTGCTGGAAGAAGCAAAGACCACCAGCACTGAAGCGATGGTCCTCCGCCATCAACTCTGCTGGACCAGCCACGTTGTCCGAATGCCTGACTACCGTCTCCCAAAGCAGTTGCTCTATTCCAAACTCAAGAACAGAAAACAGAATGTTGAAGGACAGGAAAAGAGATTTAAAGATGGGCTCAAAGCCAACATTAAAAACTCTGGCATAGACGCTGAGAACTGGGAAGCCCTGGCCCTTGACCACTCCAGCTGGAGGTCAGCTGTGACCAGCAGTGCTGTAGAATTTCAAGAGGCACGAAGCGAGGGCGAAAGAGAGAAATGTGTCAAGAGGAAGACGCATCAAGCCAACCCTGACTGTTACCACCTTCCACCTGGAAGCTGATGCCCTCACTGTGGGAGAAGATGCAGAGAAGATAGGGCTCCACAGTCACCTACGGACCCACCGCCAGGACACTGCACTTGAAGGACCATCATCCTCGGACTACGAGGGATCACCTAAGTAGTAAGTAAAGTATTTAACTCACGTTCAAGATGTTCTCTTTTGCAGCTGAAAAGTGATGTTATCCATAGATTAACATGATGGAAAAGCTTCTTCTATTTCAAGGGGCTTGCAATATCATTTCTATTGGAAATAAATAAATAAATATTTTTTAAAATAGAAAATGAATTAGAGATGTTGTTTAACAATATATCATTGAAATAAAATAAATTGTATTTAAATAAAAACATTAAAATAACATTTTATAAACAATATTATTAAAATAAAATAACACTTTATTTAAATACAATAAAACTAATATTAAATTGTATTTCTATAAAATAAAACTAAAATGAGACATTTTAAATAAAATAAAACAACCTTATCATAAAGTATTATTTCAATAAAATAAAATACATTGTATTTATATAAAAGATATAAAATAATGCCTCCCCCGGTGGCAAAGCGAGTTAAACCACTGAGCTGCCGAACTTTCTGACCAAAAGGTTAGTGGTTCTAATCCAGGGAGCGGGGTGAGATCACTGTTAACCCCAGCTTCTGCCTACTTAGCAGTTCGAAAACTGCAAATGTGAGTAGATCAATAGGTATTGTTCTGGGAGAAAGATAATGGTGCGCCATGCAGTCATGCTGGCCACAAGACCTTGGAGGTGTATAAGGACAATGCCCGCTTTTCGGCTTAGAAATGGAGGTGAGGACCACCTCCAAGAGCTGGACACGACTAGACTTAATGTCAGGAGAAAACCTTTACCTTTACAACTAAAAATATTTTAAAATATTATTAAAGTAAAAGTATTATTAAAATTAAATTACACTTTATTTGATTAAAATAACATTAAAACAACATTTTTTATCATTAAAATAAACTCAAAATACAATAAATTAATATAATTAAATTAAAAATAAATAAAATGATATAATTAACAACAAATAAAATAATTATTAATTAAAAATAAATAAGAGAAAGTTTTATAATTAATTAAACTATATAACATAAAACCAATTAATATAATCAGAAATAAATAACATGAAAATAAAACTAATTGTATTTAAATAAAACATAAAACAATAAATAAAACAATCTTAAAATAAAAACACTTCATTTAAATAAAATAACATTAAATACCATTTTATTTTATTATAAAATAACATTAATATCATTATAATATGTAATAATATTTTTAATTCTTTGTTTTCATTTAAAGACGTCTTTCACGGTTAGCAATAAAACGAACATTTGGTTTAAGCAAAGCAAGTTCATTTCCTAAGCGGAAAGCCTTCCTTCTCATTCAGAGCCGACTCGCCATACCTTCACCTCCGCAGTCCTCCACAGCCATAGAGTCGCGCCCAAAACAAGACGACTTCCGGTTTGGGTATCAGAAGTTCCGGTTAGGGGACCAGAAGTTTCGATTTGGGGATCGGAAGTGTTTCGTTATCTTTTCTAAACCATAAGAGTACATACAGTATTTATTTTACCTTCGTGTTCAAACTGGAGCGGCTTCTGACGGGATCAGACTCGTTAAAGGCCCCAATTCGTTAATAAGGTGTTTGGGCCTCACTTCCGGTTAGAGGTCGGTCCCTCATAATGCTCGGTCTAGAAACAAATACCACGCATTCAATGGTTCCGGATGGGGGAAAAAAACAAATGAAACCATAGGCATCACTTCCGGAAAACCGAACCTTTAGGCCTCACTTCTGGTTAGCGGTGATGCGGAGCATCTCTTTTTCCCCCAAGTATTTGTAGTTCGCCAAGGGCTGGACAATGGATTCTGTTGCTTCCTGACCCAGCGCACATAACTGGGTTCCTGTTTCCTCTCTGTGAACTCTCTGGCTTGTGCACTGGACCCTGGCCCCTGATCAGGGAAATGTAGTTTCCCGGGTCTCGGCTGGGAGATGCAGTTCTCTAAAGGACATTGCCCCACACTTCATCGTTTGGAAACTCTTTGCGGACCTTTCTTGCCATCACTTGTTGACTTGATGCCCTATCATCATGAACTTCCTCCACGAACTCAAAACCAAGCCTCTTGGGGAGAATGGCCCCCCCCCCCCTCCCTCCTGTGTGTGCGCGTGCCCTTGCAAAAGACTCACACCTCAAGAACTCTGCTGATTGCCCTTACCAATTGCTGTGCTTTTCTAATAAACTATATGGGGATGGGACGGGGATCTTTTATATGAAATCTACGAGTTATAGGATATGTGCATGAAATATATAATATGTAATGAAATAAGATGTACCCTCAACCCCTTCCTTTTGCCTCTCCCCTCTTGAACTTTACCCTATAAAAGAGTATGTGACCTGGGGTTACAGCCAAAGGAATCCAATTCCTTGGAAGAGACTCCATTCATATTTGCATTGCATGGACAAATACTGGCAGATCTGTGGTTTTGTTTTCAGAGTCAGACAAACAAAAGCCAGAAATCTGTCAGCCAAAAGCCCGGAAAAACAGACTGATTAAATCAATCATGGTGTTTTGTGTACGCTCCCCTGTGACAAAGGACTCCCTTCGCCACAGGGTTGAGATCCAGACACCACCCATAGCCACCCTTATTTTCCTATACACATCTTTTATCGGAACCCAGGAAATCCCTTGTCTCCCCTTCCGCCTCCCTGCCGTGCAAAGAACAAAGGGTGTTCAATCAGCTGGCGGACGCCTCCCAGGCATTCCGCCCCTCCACGCTGTCAAAATACATCCCGCCTCCCGGCCGCTGATTGGACAATCTCCGGAGGCGCTCCGAGGGCGCTCATTGGCCCCCTGGAGGCGGCAGCGGCCGGCGATTGGAGGGAAGGCGGGACCAGCGGCCAGCCTCCTCCCAGCTGCTCTGGAGCCGGCCAATCAGGACAGAGGGAACTGACAGGAGGCGGGCGGGAGATTCAAACCGGGATTTCTTTGTTTCTTCTGTATAAATATGCCTGAAAATCACTGTACCGTATGCTTATAGAGGACTCATCCCTGTAATGCATCCTTTTCAGCTGAATCGCAAATAAAACGCCTCGGTCGCAGATTTCTCTTCAGCCTGGTGAGATTGATTTTTAATATTTTTGCGTCTTTTGGATTG